CATAACCATCGAATATCATACGCGTATACAAGTCGCGAAATGGATGAACTCCTGTCGATCCCGCATTCACAATAGTGAGTTTGCGATTTTCAAAATTATCGAAAAAATTATATTATCTCGATCGAGTCTCAGAGGTCACTGTGAAAAATAATATTCGATAATAGAATTCGATACTAAATACGGCCTCCGGAGGCCTTCGATAATAACTCCAAAAAACCTGTCAAAGTGAGATATTTGTGGGAATTGATATCGGACACGACGGCCAATAAATAAGCTCTGACAGAAAAAAGGCCAGTGATGCCCATTGGATGAAATAGGAGGCGTTTCAACCAACCAGGCACCGACGCTTTCAATTGCCAATTTGCGTTGCAGGGCCGACAACGAAGGACGTCCAGAGCGCGGGCCGTGCCATCGCCTCAGCGGTCGCTTGCGGGCACCACCGACATCATCTAGAGGTAGAGGAAGTTGCGCATCTGGCCCGTGAACATACTCGGCGCCTTGTTTCCGCGCAGCGGTCTCTGCGCTTCGAGGCGCGTCGCCAGGCGAGGAGGAGCGCCCACGCACGATCCCGGTTGCGTGGGCGACAACGAGGAGGCGCTAGAGGAGTTATTGAGTCGGAAACCTGATAGTAGATGGGTTGATCGCATCACACGAAACATGAGCGCTCCACGCGACTGTCCATGTCCGCGCGCTTCCGCGGTCGCATGCACCAGCGCGAACGAGTGGCTCGCGACCCGAACCTCTCGCCGAATGCATACCCTGCGGTAGTATAATTTTTTTGGGTCGCAGATTTCGCAAACGCAAATTAAACATTATCTCGTCAGATTCCTATTATCCCGCGAAGTATAATTTTCAACGATAATAGGAAATTTCGCAAACTCTCTAATAGCTGGCATGCCGTGTGAGGCTGGAGGTGAATGATATGGACCGATCGCTGATTGGTCAAGCGAAGAAGAGTCGTTTTATTAGCCTTATTGTATCGTGTATGATCAAAACACCCAACTACGATCACAGACACGACGGGACAGACCATCTGGTTTCCGCGTGGACATC